CCCCGGCCGACGCACTCCTTTACCTCGCTAAGCCAGAAATAACGTTGGTGAAGAGGAAAGGTTAGGCATGAGGCTAGCAACCCCATCCTGTAAAATAAATACTGCTACAGAAACTTCAAGTCACTAGCTTGAAGCCCTATGTTCCACTGGGGAACGTGAAGGATAAAATAAAATATGTTTAGGCTTCACTATACTGACGAAAACAAAAAAAGAATGAATTTTCCATTTGTACACAATAGAACAAGGAATGTTCATAAGAATGAGCACTGTTCATAGTGAGAACATTAAGTCCCCTAGAATAGTGACATAATCCGTATACTAGGCCCAACCAGTGGCTACTAAGGAATCATTATATCGAAATCAGTTGTATAACATTTCCTTACCAATATTAAGCAACAATTAGCTGTTTATTTCACAGCATGAATAGCATTCTATAGATATTAAACCTCATTGTGCTAAAAAAATGAAGGTATTTGCAATATTAGCAGGCCATATTCTCTGGTGAGTGTTTCCACAAAACCTCTCAAAAGTTCTCAGACCTTTAATAATTTTCTTTGTTTTTTCAAGTAATAGTTTTGTAGGGATTTTGTTTGATTGGTTGGAGGATTTCATCATGAGCTGACATCACTAAGATAAACATTGGAAAACTAGCTGGGAGTAGTCGACAGCTATTTCCCTCGTCCTAGTTTAGGACCCTTCACCGGAATGCACGCATTGGTGTTCGAACGCAGGACCTTCTGGTTGCAAGACGAGCTCGTAGACCACTAAACCACTGGAACTCGATCCAGCGGCCAGTCCATGAATTCTAACTCCTGCCAATTCATAACCTAGTGCGACCACTTCGCAGTGACTTCTTCGGTGAGTTACTGCCTCACCTTCAACCTGCTAAACTCTACTGGTCAAAAAATGTTAGATTGTAGTCCTACTGGGGGTCAGTCATGGGCCTAAATAGCTGACTTCAGGATTGGGTGCCATGAGTTTAAATCCTAGACTACACATCGGTTATTTCTTGATGAAGGAAGTTCGAGTACAGTGAATATGTGCTGCTAACGCTGTATATTCACTTAGCCTTAGTGTAACTTAACTACCAAGAGAGTAGTTATAAAATGATTTCAGTAAAATTGGTGATTTCATCGAATAATAACTCGTTGTCTTTTGGAGTACTTCAGTCGCATAACTATTCAACCAGAATAATGATAGTTGAAAAATGAATAAATAGTCTCATACCTCACTTGGCAAACAAAGTATCATGGCTTTTTTCTAATAGAATCTACTTTGCTTGAGTTTAACCTCTGGACTACATAGTTCTGGATTTCCCACAAACTGGAAGATATGTAGGCGAAAAGCAATGAGTTGGCAGAAGAAGCACCAAAGGTAGGAAGGACTTCAGGTGAACATAGAGAAAACAGATGGGATGATGAAGATTCCTGGCCAACAGCAGCTGCAACAACAACAGACAAAAATCAGGAGGAGTCTGAAAGAAACAACCTCCTTAACCTACCTACCTGGGAAGCATCGTTTCAACTACAGGCGGACGGAACTGATGAGGATATCAAAGCGAGGATCGGAAAAGCAAAGCAAGCTTTCATTTCTCTCAAGTCTGTGTGGAGCACTGAGCATGAAAAATAAGACCCGGACCAAAGACATGTTGCCGCGTCAAGAAAGGCACTTCGAACAGATTACACACCTTCATCAACAGCTGTGTTCGCTCAATACTACTCAAGATCAAATGGCCAGCCAGAAAAGATCAGCAACAGGGAGGGATCTCTGGCAATGAGCGAACGAACCAACCCATCAGGAACCAATTGTGCAACAAATATGCAGGGAGAAATGGAGGTGGATTGGCCATACTCTACGAAAACAAACCGTCAAGTGACGTCACACGCCAGGCTGTTTGGTGGAACCCGTATGGGAAGCAGTGAGTTGGTTGTCATTGAGACGGTGACATGTGGAAGGTCATGTGAAGAGGAGGTGAAAGCATGTGGGCATAGGTGGAGCCAGGTGAAAAAGTTTGTGGAGAACCCAATGCAATGGAGATTTGCGGCTGAAGTCCTGTGTTACTCTAGGAACTAAAGGAAACATTAATAAAAATACTGTATTAATCCAAGGATATTTATGTTTGTCGACCAATGAAGAAAGAATATTCTCAACAATTCAAATATGATCTTTGAACTTTAAGATGAAGTAAAGTCTTCCACTGTCTTTAAAAGGAACTTGTTTCAAAAGACTGATTGATGAAGAGTAATAACTCAAGAAGTATTATTATCAGCAAGATTAATGTAGTTTTAAATGACACTGAATCAATGGTATCGATAGGTGATGATTACATTTCAGAAACATCAGCAACATAGAGAGAGATAATACGCATTAATATAACACTAAACTGAATGAATACCAGATAAATTGAGGGAAGTAACTGACAGAATTTATGAATTTATAGATTCGACAGAAGGCCAGGATAGAAATTAGTGGCTGGATCTACTTCTTTTGAGTCTAGAGCTCTAGTGTTTGGAGTGTTTGGTATCTAGTGGCCTTCAGACATTCATTCTATACCCGATAGATGATAGAGAAAGACTCTTCAATGTGGCTAACTTTGTCGTTTGATATTCAAGTGTTGGTTTGTAGGGATTTGATTGGTTACAGGATTTTCATCATGAGCTGACATTACTTGGAGAACCATTGGAAAACCTGGGACTACTGAACAGCTGTGTCGTCCTGGTTTGAGACTCTTCTGCAGTACGCACCCACTGGGATTCGAACCCAGGACCTTCTGGTTACAAGGCGAGCTCGTATACCATTAAGCCACTGGGACCCGCTCCAATGGCCAGCCAGCCCATGAATTCTAACTTCTGCCAATTCACGACATAGTGCAACCGCTAGTCAATGTCTTCGGTGAGTATTTGTCCACACACCCGACCTGCTGCACCCTACTGGTCATGACTTCTCACTAGAACCCCAGGTAACTACCTACCTGAATAGGTCGTTTGAATCAACTAGGGCGCTGTGTGTACGAAAGAAACAGGTCCAGCCACTACTATTACTCTCTATGTTAATTCCCTTAATTTATGTGATATTTTGTGTTGTTATATTGATGAATATATATTTCTGTTATACATATGTAGAACAATGATGAAAGAGTTATCAAAAAGAATACTCCTTGTTCAATAATCAATTTAATAAAATTTGTGAATGGACATTTCCAGTGAAAATTATTTCACTTCAAGATAGCAAGTGGACTTCTTCTAATGACTCCACAGAAAGCTCATATGTTTCACCGTCTTTGAAGGCACCGATTCTTACTGAAGTAACACTTTTATGCAATAAACATGGTTGAGTCAATACTTCTCTTGTATAAACTAGGTCTTATACCAAAACATAAAATGACCACACTAGTAAAATGTATATAGAGTGAAAAGACAGCGGCTGTTATCGAGTGTGTAATTCGTTAATGGGCATAAAGAGGCGGTGAAGTTTGTTCCTGCACACACAAACACATACTGTGCAGAGACCCCAGTCCATCACTTTATTATTATTATTATTCCCTTGCGTTCCAAGCGGAACACAGGGCTTCAACAACACATCTCCACTTTGTTCTGTTTTCTGCCATCCTCATCAGCTGGGTCCACGACTGACCAAACTCTCTCATCTCTTCCTCACACGATCGCCTCCATGTCACCCTAGGATGACCCACTTGTTGCTTCCCATTGTGAATCCAATCGAGGGCCTGGCGTGCGATATCACTCGGTGGCCTCCTCAATTTATGCCCGATCCATCTCCACTTTCTCCTACATATTTGTTGAGCTATCAGCTCTCACCCATTGGTCTGTTCCCATAGTTTCTTGTTGTTTATTCTTTCTGGTCATTTGATCTTCAGCATGAAGTGAAGGCAGCTGTTGATGGAAATCTGCAACAGGCTGTTGGAAATCCTTTCCGTGATACGCCAGCCAAGTTTCTGACTCTGAAACTGGTGTTGAAAATGCGAATCTTGTTCCTTATGCTGAACCAGAGTGCAGAAGATTTCCTAACTGGTTTCAGGTTGATGAAGGCGTATCTTGCCTTTCTGATTCTGACTTTGACCAGTCGATCAATAGGTAAAACTAAATCAATAAATGAAGATCAATTTTTTAATTTGTAGAGTTGTTCTTCTTCATATTCTTCTTCCTAACAGTTTAGAGTTATGAAAATTCATGTTTTTTGTTAACTGAATTCATCCTGCCTGATCATTCACTTAAAACTACTTATTTGAAATGATAGACGGATGCTGTGATCTCTATGTGTTTGTGTGAATGAGTGAGTGAGTGCTAGTGTTTGCGTGATCATAATTGTGAGTACATGGATGCTGCACGTTAATATAAGGTAAACTTCAATCTTACTATCATATAGATAGATAGATGGATAGATGCGTAGAGATATGCCAAACTAAATAGACATACGATACCTTCACAAATTACTCTGTAGGTAAATAGAGACAAGAATACACACAAACACTCACTCACTCACACGCATACATACACAAGAAGAGAATTTGATTCACTAAAAAAGCAAATTAATTAGATAAATTTTAGGCAGTAGGCAAGTGAAAACTGACGTTAAAGAAGACTGTGCTCACTGTTATCAGAATACATATATATATATATCAGACTGAGCAAGCAAGCTAGAGACGACAACGAAAGCGGTGACAGTGGCAAACACGATGTCTTTCAGTAAAGTAATTGTTAAAAATACTGATATGGATGATGAAATGATGGAGTCCGCGATACGCGTTACAGCCTGTGCTATGGATAAATATCAAGCTGATATGGATGTGGCTAATTTTATTAAGAATAAATTCAATAAGAAATATGGTCGATCATGGCACTGTATTGTAGGTCGACGTTTTGGAAGGTAGGCTCAACTATTCATTGTTATTCCATACTTCATTTGAAAATAAAAATCTTGTTTATTTTTAAAAGTGGTTTTAGATTTACTTGCATAAATATCTTTGATTATGTACATTTCAGTGATGTATCACATGAAGAACGATCCTTTATTTACTTCTTCCTCGGCGATCGAGCAATTCTACTGTTCAAGTCAGGTTAGCTGAACACGGAAGTCCATTTCGATAGTTTATACAACTGGTCAATCAGTGTGATATTTCAACGACAATAAACCAAGCCATTTACATGCATCACAGTCAAACTGTTAATTCTCTTCGTTTAATTTTAAATTTTCAAAAAATACCGCCAAAAACTTATCAATGAAATATTGAAGAAATCAGTGTTCATAGCTTTATGTATCTGAGCGAAAACTTCTTTTTTTTTCAATTTCGTAGGCTCAAATTGTGTGTATCTCTGCGTTATTCTCCTTGTAAGAAGTGATTTTTTTTCTCTCAAAAATTGCAAATAAAAAAATGATCAATAAATTGTTTGAATTAAACTCTTAATTGTGTTGCTTGTCTGTGACAGAGTCTCCAGCAGATACTGATCGCTTATTGTAGGTTATCCTAGTGACACACTCGAAATTAGTATTCACATCCCTTTGGAATTTTCGCTGAGTTACGGGGATTATAGCTTGCACAAAACGTATGCGGTTGTGCATGAAATTTTAAGTCTTCTGTAGTTTTGTGATTGAACAGGCAGATCTTTTCTGCGATTCGGACTGTTTACACAGGTCCTTTAATACTGTCTCTCTTTAGATCTTGACTATGTGTAGATATTTCCTAATTGTTAGTAGTGGAGGTCACAAAACACGTTTGGTTTCATTCAGGATCTGTCACATAGTTGCTTCTCAGTGTTAGTATTTCAAATAGTACGTGAATACATAAACGATTATTGTTCAAATGAACTGTCGTCAAGATTTGACAGAAAAGTTCTAAAATATTTGGGCGCCGAGTGAGATGTAGACATTTGTAAAAAATTATATTCGTAAAATCTCAGCGAGATTGAAATGAGTAATTCCAACGTTTCATTTGGCAATCTGGTCCGAACTTCTTCAGGGAAATTAATCGAAATTAACATAACAGAGGTTTATATATAAAAAAGGAACATCACTTGTTTTTAAAAACTTTGTCCAATCATGATTCATTCAACAAGTATCAACAAGTATAATAAACAAAATGTTTATGAGCTGTGATCAAAATTTGACCTGGGACTTACAAATATTGGTCTACCTTTGTTAAACACTTTAAACAGAGTGTGTATGTATGTGTGGGAAAACAGTTGTAAAACATTTCTTAACGTCTCCATAAGAAGATATGGACAATCGGGAATTTTGACCAAGTATTAATAATCAATAACTAGTGATACATATCCATTTATTTTATTTATTGTTAAGGATTTCCTATGCATCAGCTAACATCATACCTTCATGTCTGTTCAAACTGTGAGTATCCAGAATTTTATGATTAGACGTATTTTCAAAATTATGGTGTTTAGGATTAGAGTTTAGTAGAAACACCCTGCGGACTTATTGCTTTGTCTTCTTACTGAAGATTGAGGTGCTTTATTCGACCTACTGGAGTTGTCAAGTGGTGTCAAGTTCGGACCAGATTGCCGAACGAAACGTTGGAATTACTCATTTCAATCTCTCTGAGACTTTAAAAATATAATTTTTTACAGATTATTGTTCACTCTAAAGAAAATTTTGTGGCGACAAATAAAACAATATTAACCCCAATTTACTGAAATATTGAAGGACAGAAACTAAGGAACCGACTTTCTCCCTGAGTTGAATTCGGCTTCAACCTGCGGGGTAAAACTTTGGGTAAAGTGGTTTGCAGTCGAAAGCACTATGGTGAATGGGTTTGTCAATTGTTTTCTTCTTCTGCCTACTTCATTCTCCCGTGATTTCACTACAAAAGTACTAGTGCCTCTGCTATCAAGCTTTCGTTTTCCTTCGTGGTACGTTCCAAATATTATCAAGTGTTGGTTTGCAGAGATTTGAACGGTCACAGGTTTGGCCACAAGCTGACGTCGTTTAGTATGAACCATTGGAAAACCAATGAGTATTGGACAGCTTTTTTGTCCTAGTTTGGGACTCATCACCAGTACTTACTCAGGGGTTTTCTGACCTATTACCTTCCCGTGACAACCAGCGGGACCCAAACCAATAGCCCATGAATTCTGACTTCTGACAGTTCACAGTATAGAGTGATCACCAGCCAGTATCACTGGTTAGTCACTATTCTCTTACCTGACTCTGCGGACGCCGCTGGTCAAAACTTCTAACTAAAATTTCAAGTAACTTCCCATCTAGAGCCAGTCATAAGTGACAACATATTAATTATCAAGTGTGGGTTGAAACCAAGGCGGGTGCCTACAACCGTTTCATTTACATCCGTCTTCCCTACAGTATTGTCGGATGATCATATATAAAATCAAAATATGACAAAAGACTAGGGATTATAGTCGGTAAACATTTTACTGTAATATAACACCCAACCGAAATTTCGTATGTGTGAACACCAAAATACGAAGTAATAAAATAGTCTTTACAATTCATGAAAAGTTCTCAAATGAAAGGTGCGATGTAGTGTAGCATGCACATATAATTTACGTCAAATATATCTACTGATGCTGTAAATCGTCGGTGAATATCAATGTTAAATTGCTTGACATTTGAGTCGTCTTCAATAAACTGTTAAGTGTTTAGAACAATGACTAATATCTAAAGGCATTTTTAGTATGACACTTGTATTGATGACTTTTCGTGATCTGAGTTTCGAAGTATAAACTGATTGCCCTGTCTCCTCGACATCTGAAATAGCAAATCGTAACATTTAATGTGGTTCTGTATTTTTTATCTCGATATTGCGTAATAAACAATAGCATTTACATTTAGAAAAAACAGAAAAGAAAATCTGTGGATCGGGTTATAATTCAGTTAAAGAACTACTGAAAACCAGTGTGTGTTGGAGATCCTTTTCCCGCCTGTTTCGGGCTCTTCAGCAGTAATTACTTACGGCCACACTCAGGCAGGATTGGACCTGGGACCTTCAGGTTACGAGGCCAGCCTGCTAACTGGTTACAGAGTGGAACGGAATCCAGTGACTGGTTCATAAATTATAACTTTAGTGATTGTAGCAAGACCACCACCCGATATCATCGATGAGTATTTGTATGGTTTTAGTAAAATTGCACTCTTTCTTTTAACTCCAATGACTTTGAAAATCAGGTAGAAATATAAACTCGAAAAGGTGTATTCGCGATGACTGCGTTTTTATGCTCACAATGTGTAACATCGTTATTACGACCTAACAGATGTTAGGAGCCTTGAACGAAAAAAATGAAGTTAAATATTAAAAACGATATATTCGCTAACAGTGCTGTATAATGCTTGAGCTAAATCACATACTGAAAGATATTTGGACTGTAACAAAATAGTTTTTTGGGAAATCCCTTCTGAACGATTTGGGTATTATTTTATTTTAATTGAATTTTAGATTTTCCCGTCGATTGATTGGACCGGAGTGATCGGTCTCAGATTGACATGTCAGCTTCTTGTGCAGATGCTTCGACGATGTCTGGGCATTTATTTAGAATTTAATTGGTGGATGGTGACTAGCAGTGGAATCCAGGATGCGCATTTCATCCTATTTGGTACTCTTCGGCTAGTGGATGTGCCTGCACTCCCCAGTGAGTGAAGATATTCCCACCGAGGCTCGAACCCAGTGCCCATAGTTCCAAACTCCAAAGCGTTATACCCTAGACCACTTGGGCCATGAGAGCTATCTATTGTGCAACGGCTCATACTAATTACTTGATTCAGTTTTAGATTTTCCCATCGATTGATTATTGTAGGAAATTTCAATCAATTAATATGAGTCGTTGTACAAGAGGTGGCTCTCGTGACCCAAGTGGTCTAGTGGATAACGCTTTGGTATTGGAAACTATGGGCATTGGGTTGAAACCTCGGTGGGAACATCATCACTCACCGAAGATTGCATGTACATCCAGATGACGAGTCCCAGATAGGACGAAATGCACATCCTGGATTCCACTGCTAGTCACCATCCACCAATTTATGTATTATATTTGGACATTCCAACTAAGTCTGCAATTATTATCTTCTTTTCTCCAAGACCGCGCATTAATGCTTTGACGTTTGTACATTACCTGTTAAATTAATCCCGATTTTTTTGTCTTTTTCACTGTTTAATCTCTAATTTTAAAGTTTCTCTTTTTGGTTTTGTGATGACATCTATCATGTGTTGTTTTGTGACTGTGATTTGAAGGTCATTGTGGCCTTGGACTATCTGAGAGAATTTTTGCTAATGTGATTCTTGCTGACCGGGCTTAGATTCCATCTTATTAAGAATATTCTACTTCATTCTGAGGTACTTCTTAAGGTTGATTCCTGGTTAACTAGTTTTGTTCTACAGTACTGTCATTGGAGCATTTTTCGACTGCGCATTACTTAAGTATGTTCTGGTTAACCGTACAGTTGAACGCAGAGATTGGTTTTCAGCGTTCAGACCAGTTGCAGTTGTGATATGCAACTGTAATCTTGTGTATTTGACTTAAACAGCCCTACATAATATTTTTAAGGTCACGAAACTAATCTAGAAGTCTTTGTAATATACTGCGAATCCCTCAAGGTAAAACAGTTGTTTAGTTTCATATTAATTGGTTTGTTGGATATATCACAGAGTTAAACAGTACTATTTACTGAACGGAGTTTTCAACATATTTTGTTGTTCTTGATAACAGTTGCAAGTACACAATCTTGAAACTTGGTTTTTACAGTTCTTGTTCTTCTTTCACACTTATGACAAAGGTAATGGGATTTTCTAGATATCCAGGCATCTTCTTCAAGTTGTTATGCAAAGATATGAAACTTCATCCGCAGATGCTCCTAATTATTTACATCATATCAAGTTAATTTGGTCATTCCAATCACATATACTTACATTTAATGTAAAACTGTCAGTGTAGTTTGTGGTTTATTCGCAAAGGTATCCAGCTAATCAGTTGAATAAAACTAATTTGAAACATATCAGATCCTAGACATACCAAAGTTTTTTAGTAAGGTACCTGTTCGTTCATATTCACCTAACAACGAGTCTCTATGCTAAATAAGCTCTCGATGAAACAAACTGAGTCCTGGTTCACTAACTGGTTGCATTACTACTTCTTTAAAAGAATGCAGTACACCGTATACAAAGGTAAATCCTCCTCTGCTGTGCTCACTGAAGCCGGTGTCCCTCAAGGTGCTGTACTCTCCCCACTTCTCTTTTCTCTCTTTCTACATAACTTAC